CTGTAAAGTGAGTAAATAAATATTGTATTAAAACATGACAATCCCAGAAAATTATATTCTAGAAGGAATTATTTATAATATTATATATATATATATATATATATATATATATATATATATATATATATCAAAAAGTATATAATTGGTATATACGGAATGAATTCCAATAACCAACAATTACTATTCTTAAAAAAGTACTCATACAAAGTAGAGCAGATATAATTATTTTTTTAAAAAATTATAACATAAGTATGTTATAAGATCACTACAAAAATAGCCATTTTGTTTCAACACATTCTGTGTCTTCAAATGATGTTGAAAATAAAATTTTTTATAAGATTTTATTTTATTTTCAACATCATCACTTGAGAAGACACAGAATGTGTTAAAAAAAATGGCTATTTTGTAGTGATCTTATAACATACTTATGTTATAATTTTTTATAAAAAAATAATTATATATATATATATATGTGTGTTAAAATCATGCAAGGCGGTAAAGCCAGTAGGACACAGAATGTTACAGGGTCTGGAAGAATTAGGAAGAGAAACAATAATAATGACTGTGAAGAAGATAGAGTAATATATATATATATATATATATATATATATATATATATATATTTATAACAAAAATATTGTCATGGCCGAAAAATCTACTACTGGTTCTAGTCAAAAGTTCTAGTCAGCCACCGAACCTATAAAAAAAAACGACTATAAAAATATCAACTTGTTAATTTTTTTGTAAATGCAAAATAGGTCAAGTCACCATCCACACAGAATCATATAATTTCAGGGTGCATACAAACATGCAAACATTGAGGGTGTCTGTATGCAAGAGGTGCATCAACATGGTAGTTAAACACCCGGGTTACAATTTATACAGGACTGGCGTAAAAAAAAAAAAAAGACGGCATGGTGTTGGAATCGCAGTAGTTAAATCATCAGATTTTGTAATAGTTTTATACCAGCCAGAAAGACTAATACCTATTGACATAGTTGTCCGTGGCTGTAAAATCAGAATCATATCAGCCTATATCGCAAATAAAAATAAAGTGTTGTCTCCGAAAAAGAGAACTTCTATGTAGGCCTAACGAAATTCTGTGTTGTAAAAAAAACAACATAAAACGGTACAATGGTGGGGACTTTAATGCCACATCTACTGTTTTTGAACGCCACATCTACATTGATGGCAAGAAGACATCACTGTGTGAAACGGAAAAATCAAACAACAATAGTGAGCTCTTTTTATCCTTTTCTTACCCAAAAAGGTACACCATTCTTAATACATGGTTTGACCACCCCATAAAACATCGAATCACATGGCAATAGCTTGAATGGAAAAAGTAAAAAAAAATAAATATTGATTTCAGCTTCCCAAACTCTTGGCTTAGGAATTTGTCACAAATATGAGAGATTATAACTCTTCGAATTTGATTGCAGATTCTCGGGACAAAACTTACAACTCCAGACAACAAAATACATTACCCCCTCTTACATAAACTATAAACGGCACCTGGGTATAATATCCAAGCGCTACAAAATGAAAATAGAAGATTAGAATTCTGTAATAAAGTAGAATCCAAATGAATGATCCTAAATCTCGACTATAACAATATCATGATCACAAGTTACGAAACCCATTAAGGTCGTAGAGGCACAACATGGACTGCAGCTGTAGTAGAAGTAGTGCATCTTGAATAAGACAATCTGACGGAACCCAAATTTAGAATTTTCCTTCTCCTAGAATTGTAGCCAAACAAGGCTATAAAGCCTCGTCTGTCCTGTTATTTACCAATAGTTAGAGGAAGCAGAAAGGATTTCATGCCTTTCTCAAGAGTATTTACGCGTAAGTGAATGTAACAAATTCCTCTGGAATTCGAATTTGGCTCTGCAATTTCTCATTTCGCGCCGCCATCTATTACATCACAGCGCATCGTATAACAATATCGAAATATCAAATAATGTTATCTTATCCTCCTTAGCGGAAGCAAGTGGGGCGTGAATATATGAATATCTAGGCAGAAAAAGGTCCGCACGTGAGACGACAATGATGATTGGAAAAGATTAAAGCTAGAAACAGACAATCAGAAGGGAAAGAAAATAAATGGGATGATATTAAACAATCAGCAAAGACATTAAAAAAAGACAAGACAAAACAAATAGTTAAAGCTCTAGTAACCAATATCTCCGAAAAATTGCAAACCAATGAATCCAAACAGCATGGACATTGTATTGAAATAGAGGGAAAAGTAAAAATTCATGATAGCATCCTACAATCGAACCAAAATGGAAGAGATGTCCTGATTTAGAAAAAAAAGACTTCGAGTTACATTTCAACCTTGGCCACACTAAGCTGTCGACGCTCGCAGAATTAGAACATACACCAATATACATCCGAGCATTACAATGTCTTTCACCAAGCATAAACAATAACGAACAAAAACGAACCTGATGATGAGGAAACGAAGAAAACTATAAAAAAAAACTCAAAGAAGAATAAATCATCCCTTAGCATTGAGGATGAACTTTTGAAATTAGAATACCCTTCCCTGAATTTAAAAACGACTTTCTAAATTTTATGAAGAAAGTCTGGAATTGGAAGCTCACCGCCAAAAGTGAGGTTTTTATCGCGCATTAATGAACTATGAAAACAAAAAGGTACAAAATGTATCCCAGTTGAATCCATTATGGTGAAAATATTAATGAATATTTTATTAAATAGATTATCACCGTTCTACGAAAATCAATTCCACACGATCAAGGGTGTAACGATGGCATACTTTAATTTAAAAAAAAAAAAACACCAGGAAAGTGATTAGTTCTCCAACAGAAACTTCTATACCAGCTGTGTAGACCTCACAGCAGCATACGTCCACATTAATAAAATCTTCCTCTTCTCATCGATTAGAAATGTTCTTCCAAGCTCCGAATCCAAGGACGTCTAGATCTGATAGAACTGTATCGGCCAAGAAAGTCGTGCATGTCGGGTGAGGACTCCAATGCCAAAAGATTCCAAATCTCATCTGGAGTACAACAAAGAGGAAATGAGAGCCTCAATCTAATTAATATCTTCCTGGTCTTTGCTCTGCGCATATAGAAGCACAAATATAAAGAGATGGTCACTGAATACTTAAACATTCCATACCGTATCCGAAATGAATCTACAAAAATAGGATTCCTGCTTTCTATGTCACATCCTCTGTGTACAGAGGATGATGACATAGGCATTCATATTTGGGAAAAGAATGATCTTGAATTAGCATTCTCTACCAAATATTCAAAGAAGGAAGATTCAAGAAAATCCTTTCCAAAACAAGCAATGATCTGGATTGGAATGGATGCAGTGATGGCGCGTAATCTGAATCCAGCATAAATATTCAACATGTGGAATTAGTAAATACTAAACACTTCAAATACTTCAATATTTGGATCAGTTACAACAAATTTAGTATAGGAGATAAGGGTATAAAACAGAGAATAGCCTGTGCTACGGGTAGTTTCATCCAACTACGCAAACTCTTACTAAACAAAAACAAAAATGTAAAAAATAGAGTCATGTTTTTAAATGGATATGGGTGCAAAGGCATGGCGTCAGACTCGTTCAGAAATATCTAAACTGTCGACTGTACACAACCGCTTTCTCAGATCGATGCATTAAAATGGCGCGTAAGTCTCATTGAGGATCACCCTTTTTCAAACTTTGTGGGCTGGTATTACAGAATCACAGAATCCCTTGTCTTTCAATAGCAACAATAACTAAAATGGATGCCATATGTAATTTGAAGAGAGAATAATGACATAAGATGTTGACGCTTCACACTACCTCAAACAAAAGACAAGGAAGAAATCCCCATCAATACTGAAAAACACAATAACAGATACTGGACTTGAGAAACCTATTTTCCTGAAAAATTATTTTAAGCGAAAGATTTTATAAATTAAAACTGGCAGCAGCAATGAATGTAGAATGTTTACTTATAAAGAAACGGCTAATTTCCATTACCATATCCGTGAAAAATTCATGGCACTGATTCAATATAAAAATGCATACATATGTTGAAGGCTGAGAATATTTACGAGCGATCGCGCACGTGATACTGCTGTTTCATTCACATGGAAACAAGTCACAGCAAAATACACTTAGTATTCATAGCATAAGACAATTTTCCAAATTTTGGCATCTTTTTTTTTTAAACGATTACAAAAATGATATTTATGTTGCTCTTCTAGAGCAGATTTTACAGCTTTAGAAAGGGGTTCATACTTTCATAAGTTGAACTGTGAGAAATTACTCAAATATATTATCTAATAATAAAACTTACTCGTGCAGAATCTAAAGAGCGACCCCATTTCCTTTGGAGTAGACTTGTTTGGCTTAATTGCTAAATCTGACATAAGTAAATGTTTTTCTTCTGTCAGACTTAACAATTAAGCTCATATCGTAAAGGACGTTGGATTTCAAATCAGTTCCAAATTACTAAATATTTTTTCACATGACTGAACTTACCTAAATATAGAAATAAGACAGTAAATGAGATGAGAAGAAAGAAGCCGATGGAATAGAGAGAAATGCGATTAGGATGAGGACAAAGACGATATAATTACAAATTGACACCTAATTGTTCTGTCTAATTGCATAATATTGAGAATTGATGACAGTGACTGTTTCGTTTGTAAAATAACTTATTATTTCATTGTTACACGACAGATAATATACTGATAGGTATCTTCTGTTTAGAAGTTACTATTTGATGAGAAACGTAGTTTAAAATATAGCAAGCCTATAAATCAAACTTTCTAACACAGAGAAAATTCAGAAAATATTTATTTTGTTTAATTCTATTCCAATCTTATCCTACTTTAAAAAATGAACAGTATTAACATTCCAGTGTAAGGAAAAATATTATGATATTAAAGATATTCAAAAGCATATTTGAAACCAGTGTAATTGATTTCAATATAAAACTGAACGTGTCTCATAGTAAACTTGACTCATAG